AAAAACCAATTGATAGATAGTTGATGCAATTGAAGAGCAAAAACATTGGAAAATGACGTTTTAAACAAGAAATTGAATGATGTAGGGCGAGGATTTTTGCTAAATGTTGCATATTGCGCGAAAGCCAGTACTAATAGGCCACCATCGCACTACAACTTATTATTCGACAAGTTTTTCTCCTAACGCTACGCAAATCACAAATGGTCGAACTAATTCCCTAGGATTACCCCAACAGCGTGCAAATTAGGTAGGCATCGAGGACACGGCAGAGGCTCCCAGATTCGCACAACCAGATGCCTCCCAAATGCCTCAATAAACCAATTAACACAATCTAGTGAGCCTTGAGGTGATGCATTGTGGAAATATCTAATTGCACCTACTGGTCCAACCATAACATATTTCTTCACTTAGTAAAGACTTATCATCTAAAAAAAGATGATTATTTTTTTCAAAATAATATCTCTTATAAGCAAGCGATAAGATAGTTTGTTTGAGATTTTGATAGTATAATAGTTTTCATTCCTTATTCCTGATAAAGAAAACCGTGAACACATTTGCAAATAAGATAAATCGTGAAAATTTTTCTGAAAAAAAATATTAATAAAATAGAAAGAGAAGCTTGACGAGAAAAAAAGGCAACAAGAATAAGATATCTGAACTAGTTTAGTCTGTATTAAGTACCGTAGCACAATGTTTGAAAAAAGTAAAACCACTTTATGAGTTGTACACAATATTAGATTGGACTGCTAATTACTTTACGAGAATGTTCACTCGTAATAGAAAAAATACAAAGCTTTTTTGGTACCATAACGAATACCGGTCTTTTGGCAGCATTGCAATCCGCTATTAAACTGAATTGTGCAGAATATATTTGCAATTTTGCTGAAAATCAATATGATAGGAAGCCAACTGAAGACTTTAGCTAACTTTATGTAGCAAACTAGTGGAGTAGAATTTCGGATTTTATGCAATCTTGGAAACGAAACAGCATTATTGGACATAAGTGAGAACAATTGAAAAAAAGCTGAACTAAAAATTCCAAAAATATGCGCTTATCAAATTCTCTTGTGTTTCACATACAGTCCTTCCAAAATCTTGATAATAGCCAAAACGTAACCTCGGAAGAGGCACAAGTCAGTTCCAGTAAGATAGAGATTACCCGTTAAGAGCTACTTTGATAAGCTTCAGAAAGAGAGGAATCCGATGAGAGAGTGATTGAAGATGTTTATAAAATCAGTGCAGAAATAAATTCATTTTTTTTGCAAAAATCAAAATGAAAGAGTGTGTAAAGGTATACCATACTAGTAGCCAATGCAAAACAATTTATATATTCAACAAAATGAGCCACAGCGTGGGCAAGAATAAAAAATAATTAATTGAATTTTCAAAGTTTTAAATGGATAGTGGTATTACAATATTTGAAGTTTAGAGAGTGAGAAGCTTAAAACCTATTTTGCTAATGCATAAAATCGCAATGCGACATGAGAGTAATAAATCTTTATAGATAGAATATGCTAGCTGCCCAAATATAAAACTGAGCGTCCAGAAACAGACACAGCTAAGGTTTCAAGAGATACTAACGAAAAAAGTAAGGGCGTAAGGAATCTGGCATATTGACA